GGGTGCCCCCACCCAGACCCAGGAGGCACCAGTCGCCGAGCGGGGGGGAGGTGCAAGGGGCCTCCCAGAGTGCTCCCTGGTGGAGCTGGAAGTGGACTGGAAGTGCTTCTGGTCCACTTCTGAGTCTGCTGCCAAGTGCACTGAGGACCCCCCACCCCATGCTTCTATGGGATGCTGCATCTGCCCCAGCAGTGCAGCACATCATGAGCCCCTGCTACCTAGAGGCATGTAGAAAAAAAACATTTAAAGCTATGGCCAAATCTCTCCGAATTGATTCGGAGGGTTCCGATTCGATTCAGAGAGTTTAAAGGGTCCTTGGGGAGGTGGAGGATGTGCAGCAAAGAGCAAAATTAAATGAACTGCTGTGCAGCACATTTCTGCGGCAATTTAGGTAGGCCCCTACCTATAAAATTTTGCTGGGAGGTACAATGAGTACTGCTAGCTGAAGAGCTCACGTGGGGCCAGTACAGATCACTACATGATCCAATTCAGGGCATTACTTGGACATTTCTATCTATCTGTCATCTATAGAAACAAGTCACATTTTTTAAATTGCCGTGGGCTTAGCAAAACCTTAAAAGGAGAGTGGCAATACCTGGCTTAACCTGGGTAAAATCTCTCATTACACTGATCTTTAATACAGAAAGGTATAAAACGAGAGTATGAATTAAGCCTCATGAAGTTGCAAGCACTAGAATTTTATTGGACTCACTGCTTCAACAAATAGCCTGAAGGAGGAGAAACAACAAAGAATTCCTTTCTCCAGCACCATTATGGAAATTCATTTTATACAGGATTGATTTATATGCATCATATCAGAGCTATGAGAGTCCTTGAGTATTAAGTTTCCCAGACCTAATACACCCTGGATGCTTCACCACCTTAATATACTTACAGCTCCAAAGAAACATGCAGAAGCTAGTGCCTCTTTTTTGGCTAGCTGCAGCACATAGCCAACTTTGTTTGCATATTTCTTCATTTCATTCATCTCTTGCCCAAATGCTCGAACTGTTCTTATGTTTCCAATGCGATCTTCAGCTAACTACAAAAAAGAAAAAACACAAATCTGGACCCACACTCATGGATAGGCTCACATTTCAAAAGGTCTGAAAGTAAAAGCAATACAAAAGCTTTTCTATCTGTAAATATGGTACCCTGAATGCCAATGAAAAGCTTGCCATGCCCCTCTCTTGAATTCCATGATACCAGAAGCACATTCTATACCAAGATGGTTTTAAAAAGTAAGTCAAAACTAGTTTAGCTTTACTACTAGTATGGAGAGAAACAGAATAGGATTATACCAGCTAATATGCAGAAAGCAATGGGCCTTAAAAAAAATTCTTAATTTGGAAAGGACAATGGATACAAGAAAGAGAGGAGCATTAAAGAGGATTATTCATAGCTGTTCATAATAAATGACTTGGAATGATAAATACCCTATTGTATACCACACCATACAGAAAAGACTGTATTTGTTTATGTAATTCTATTTACCTGAATGAAGCTGAATTGGGGATAAAATTTAGCCCAACAGTATAGTCTTCATTTCAGTTTAACATGCAAAAACTCCCAAATGAATAAAGTTAAACCTTCAGAAAACCCAAACTCAGTTAGCTTGCTCACTGACTGACACTACAGTGAGAGTACGCGACAACAACGCCCTAGCACATGAACCAAGATCAGGCTTGGAGCCCCACCCCCTCCCCCTCCCCAAGACCACCATAGTTTGTTTTCCTCTTCAAGCCTGGGTGTGTATTTCAGACTTTGTACAGCAGAGCTGGGAAGTCTTCAACCTGTTTTCAAGCAGATAGACTTCCCTTGGACAAAGGACAGGCAAGATAAACAGCATATGGCTAATCTTTCTTCTGCATAGTGTGTTTGGGCAAACTGACCATCCCAGGATTAACATAGCTGAAACCCATGAATATTTTAGCAAGGTCTTGTTCTCAGCATTTCTCTCTCTTTCATATTAAAAAAAAGAAAAGTTAATTCTATTCTAGAATAAAATTACTAAGAAATTACTAGAAGTCAATTGTGCCCCAAAAGCCCCTTAAAAATAACCACCCCCAATTCTCTTTGTGACTCCTCCACAGATGGAGAGGAAAAAACAAAACAAAACTTCGCAGCATAGCCCAAAGGTTAATAGACCCAGGCTCAGATGGATTAAGAATCAGGGTAAAACATCAGCTATCACATCAGAAAAACCTTCCTGGAGAACTGTTTTGTTGGCTCTGCCTCTAAAAGTGCTTTCTGTTGTCTCAAATCTCCTTCATCGTACAGTTGCAGGGGTACCTACTCATAACTAGGTCTCGCATCATTCAGGCCTTCATAGGCTGAAACTGTATCCCTCACACTAAGAAAGAACATAATTCCCTTAAGCCAGGGCTGTCCAACTGGCAGCCCACAGACTGCATGAGGCCCATGAGGGTTTAAATTGAAGCACCAGGGTTCTCCCCCAGTTGCTGCTCCCCACATCATTCCAGCTGCAACAGCAGCCAGAGTGTCTGGATTTCCCCTCTCTCCTCCAGGTGCTGCTTCCTGCCCTCATCCCAGCACATAGGGCAGTGTGGTGCAGCATGGGAACATGAATGCAAGTACAGGCCACACCTGTATGGGCTGGGGGGCCAGAGGTCATATCTGTGAGGGGCAACACTGTGTGTTGGGAGCATCTGTGTGACCCAGTGGTCTGTGGCTCACCTGGTGTGGCCTGCATGGCATGTGGCCCCCAAGGGTTTAAAAGTTGGACAGCCCTGTCTCAGATTTTATCAGCACAGATTTCCATAAAGCCAGTATCATTTTGCTTCCAATTTTTTTCTTTTTTAAACAAAGGAAGGCTAGCAGTGAGACCTGTGGGAAAATGTTATTAACCTCTCCAAAGAAATTACTTCCTCACACCTGAATAGTTGAAAGCAAAACAGGTTTATAGCTCCAGGTAAAGAAATGGACCTCATACCTCAGCAATTCTATAATACCTTTCTTAGGGTATTTCACTTTATATTATCCAAAGCATTCTACTAAGTCTTCGCAAGATTACCTGTGTTGTTTCTGCAAGGGAATCCTGGGTCATTCTAGTAACCTTTCGTAGATATTTTGAATAAGCCATACCTAGGATAACCAGAGGGGGCACAATACTCAGAACAAACATGGCAAGTTTGGGAGAGACAAAAACCTAGAAGAAGTTAAGGATTCAAGAGTTAATATTTTGGTATACAAAAAAGCCACACTGCTGAAATACAGAAGTGCATACACTCAAGCCTGAAGAAAGCCACACTGCTTTTTTAGTGTAGTTGTAACTTATTTTGTCATCTCCTACTTTCTAGGCTAACTCCCCATTCTTCTACAGCATTTGGGCAGTACAAAGAATCAGGAATCAAACTGTCTGGATTCTATTTCTGGCTCTGACACTGCTTGGCTCCATGGGCTTGGACAACCCACTGTCAGTAATAGATGTCCATTTTGTTACCCTAATAGAGCCCTATCACAGCAGCAACTTAAGCAGAACCCCTCAATGAAATCAACTTAACATTACTTTTAAATTAATCTAGGTTGGATAAGGCCTGTAATATTTGGCCTTAAACAAAGGGCTGAAATATGTAAGTCTTATAATTTTGTCAGTGATAAGACTTGAATAACACTTAAAATTTTTATAGTGGAAATTCTTGCCAGCTTCTGGTAACGTTACCAGACTGAATTTTTTCTTTTCTTTTTTTTTTTTTTTTTTTTTTTT